GTATGACGATTATTAAAAATATTAATAAGAACATGATGTTCTATGATAGAAAGTACAATGATTATAGTTACATACAACTATGGTTGACTCACTTAACTTCTCAGCTACAGCAGTTTCATTCATAGATCGTAGAGCATTTGACAGTGAGTCCAAGTTGGCTCCTCCTCTACTGTCAACATTATCAGCTCTACCTAACCATTGGGAGAGGCACTCTGTCATACAACGAGATACATCATGAGGATGATTGTTTTCTATAGCATCCAGTGTATTCTTCTTTAGTCCTAGTCTCAGTCCAAGCTGATGCCACTTTGTTTCTGGGAAGCCATATCTCTGCAACAAGTCAAGAACATCAGCAAGATTATCAACACTTAGATTGCAGAAGGGGCGTGACCAGACTACAGCAAGACAAAAATGTAAAATCAACATTGAGGCTAAGCTTAAGCTTACTTAAACAATTTGTGGCCATAGTATATCCCTCTGTATGTCAAATTTTAGTCAGTTCCCTCGGACTCCTCGATCGCTCCAAATCTCCTGCCTGCTGCACTGCAGTACTACTAGACTCTATACTGGGAGGGAACAAGGGCGGGGTTAGTGTTATTCATTGATAGTTCCAGACAATGTCCAAACTTCTGAAGTTGGTGAAATTCCAGCAATCCTGGCATCATCACAACCCAAAGAATAAACTAGATTAATCCTTATGAAAGAAAATAAGGATAAAAATGTCGAATATGAAAATAAACCAGTAAAAGATGCCAGCAGTATATGAATAGTGAATATATACTAGCAGTATGAAGGTTCAGAGTGATGATGATACAAAGAGTAAGGAAACACCCACTGACCGAACCACTGACACTGTTTCACAAGGTGATACAAATGACAGCAAAGAAGAGAAACCTTGGTGATTCCAAAATAACCCTAAATTTTAATTACATCCCTGATACATATTGGTGTACTTATGCTGTATAGACAGTTTGAGCTGATTCTGAATCATAATCCAATTATTTCTATACATGTAGATGT